CACTATCTCGTTCCTATGGCGAAACCGGAATGTTCCGTAACGGCGGTGGGGTGGGGGGGGGTGGAGGTGGGGGTGGAGGTGGAAGGTGAGGTGGTGGTGATGGCGGTGGGCGGACGGTGGCGGCGACGGGGTGGTAGCGGCAGAACGAATGGGCGTTGGCGTGTGTAGACGTTTGCTGGTGATGGTGGTGGTGGTACTGGTGGTGATAGCTGGGGCTGGGCTGGGTGGTGATCGGAAGAGGCGGAGGCTATGGCGGTGGTGGGCGGGTCGCGAAAGGATGGGCAGAGATGGTGGATGGTGACGCACGGTGGTGGGCGTTGGCGTGATGGCAGTGATGGCGGTGATTGTAGTGGTAGTTAGTGGTGGTGGGCGGTAGTTGTGGGTGGAGGCGTAGTGGCAAGGATGTTAGCGGAGGAAGAGGTGGGTTTGGCGGTGATAGTGGTGCGTTTTTGCAATGATGGGTGGGTGGCAACGAAGTGCATGGTTTCGTGATGGTGGGGGCGGGGAAGGCGTTTGGCGAGAGGGACAGAGGCTTTGGCGGTGGAGGGAGGGGGTCAACAGGGGCCGGGCGGAGGCCGTGAGCGGTGATGGCTGGTGGAGTTAGCGGTGGCGGTAACGGCAGTGGAAGCTGTGGCGGGGACTGTGGTGAGGACGGAGGTGGCAGCGCCAACGTGGCAAGTAGGGCGGAAAGGGTAGGACAGAGATAGAACCGGGTGTGCGAGAGGCAAGCAAGAGAGCTGAACGGGGTGGAGGCGGCGGAGGCCTAAGGGGGCCAACCTTCCTGAGTTCTCCATTACGCGGCTTCCCGCCTCTCCCGCATACGCGCGCACTGTAATCCTCCGCTTCCTGCGATCATCAACGCGCCATGCGCGTTGCAGCAGAGCACGTTGCTCCCCGCCCGCCCCTCCCGACCCCGCGCCACTTTGAAAGCACGCCCACCGACTCGCCTCCTCGCGCGATTCTTCACCTCCCGTCCCCACCGCCCTTCCCACTCGTCTACCTACGTACGCCCTCGCCGCTGCCTCGCCACCGCCTTTCCCACCGCCCTTTCCCACCGGCCGCTTTCCCACCGCCCTCAGCTGCCGCCCTCGCCGCCGCCCTCGCCGCCGCCTCGATACCGGCCTGGCCGCCGGTAGAAAGGCCCCTGGCGCACCGACCCTGGCCGCCGCCCTAACCGCCGCCCTCGGGCACACCGTTCTGGGCCGTCGCCCTCCGCCCCCGTCCTGGTCGCCGCCCACGCCGCCGCCCACTCCGCCGCCCTCAGCGCAAGCGAGCGAGCGAAGGAGATAGTGTGGAATGGAATGTTGCTAGGCGACGTCGAGCACGACCTCGAGGAGAATGTGAGCAATGGAAATATAGGAGACGCGAGTCGGGAATCGCGGAACTGGAAATCGTCGGCAAGGAATAATGAAATGGAAACTTACTCGCAGGGGAAATTGAAGAAGAGAGACAGGATGCGCGAAAGGCGCGGTGCAACAGTGGGAATCAAATTACTGTAATGGAATATCTGACAAGAACAATTCTAAAAAAGTGTATATGGAACAGGCAGATTGAAAAGTTGTAGTAAATTAATAATAATATAGGAATGTCAGGGGAGGATTGTATGAAAGAAAGGGGCGATATTGTAACTGTTAGCGTATCGAACTCTTATACCCAACTTGGGAGATTCAAACCTGAAAGATTTCTAAGGGCGAAAAAAATCCTTCGTACGCCTTGTTTCGGAGGGGAAGTAAAGCCGGCTGTCCCATGTTAGTAGATTTATTGCATGCAAAAAAATCCTCAAGCCTAAATGACGCCACTGGGCTGAATCACATCACCTTTTTCCTCGTCCACTAAGTACCTTCTTTCTTCGCTAGTTGGTGAAAGGAGCGTAGCGAAATTTGCGTGGACAGACGGAATAGTGGGCCTGATGGCCTGAGTCCCGCCACGTAAAATAAGACGTCAATTTAATTTACTGATAATACGGACATGGTGGATTTTGGCAGTGGGTAAGCAGCAAGACACGTAGAGACGACGAGAATGGCGAAAATCAGGTATGGAATGATAAGGGGGATGGAGAAGGAAAATTCCGGAGGTTGCGCTAAAGGTGGGGTGGGATATTGAACGCAGTTCCGTGCGGAGAGGCGTATCCTAGAAAGGCGTGACGGGACAAAGCTAGCATTATGCAAGTTCAGCCTACGCAAAAAGAGGTTGCGAGACGCGGCAAGTGGCAGTAAAAGAAAATGGAATGCGATGCAAACAGAAACCATGCGTATAGCAATACGTTTTGTGACGGTCACTGAGCGTAATGGCTGTCACATTCCCGATTCATTGCCAAGAGACAGTCTCGATATTACTTGTGCAACTTTTCTTGAACGATGGATTAAAGAAATGCGGGTAGAGTGGGTGTGTTAATCGGCCACAAGGTTTTATAAAGCAATGCCAATCTCTGAAGAATCAGTCATGCCTTCGCAACGTTCTCAATAATTTGCGTTCTAACTTTGTGGGTGTTCGAGGTGTTTCGAGGCTAACAGGTGTTCGAGGTACCTTCTGTAATAGATCGTTACTTGCTTCGGTCATTTCTTTAGATTTTTGGAGAAAATAACGGATAGAAGTTCTCGTGTTCAAAATATTTTTTTTTATATCACGCCAGTGAAGATGTGTTCGGAATGTTGTCATCAGTACTCGCTGTGAGCTTTCTTCTTCAACTGTTTATTGTACCAGAGAGAGAGAGAGAGAGAAGAAGGTCATTGTTTTAGAAAAGTAGCGCGTGTAATACCATGGCCAATGCGAGTAGTTTCCTATACCTAAAAGGAGCTCTAGGAGATTTTTCGGAGAAGGGGGGAATAAGGTCCATTTCTCTATCCCTCATTTCATTTTCCATCATAATGAATTTCATACTCTTTAGGGTATACTTGTGTGTTAAGAACAGATGCTAGTTTTGGAAAATGTATAAAGAACTATCGACACACAACCTTATAATTGCGGTGTTGTTTTAGGGGGAATTATTATATTCTCTTACACCAAACAGATTCAATGCATCCATCCCTAAAAATGTTTTCTATTAGAGTAATTATTAATTTATTTCATTAGAATTTTGCATTGGAATATTACATGAATAATGTGAACTCTGAAAGTCCTTCAAGTGATGTTATGGGTCAAATTTTTGTATTGATAATAAAACTAAGTGCGATTAAATAGTGAGTCATACCCTCTCAAAATTTGATTATAGATCCATACGACTACAAAATAGGCCAGTAGAATATTTTTCAGAAATGCTTATAGGTTTTATAGAAATATATAGCTTTATAGTAATATCCTTCTTTATAATAATAGCTTTTATAGAAATATTGTTAATTCTAATTTGATTTTTTCCTTTAATTTTTATTTAATGCTGAAATAAAGTATTTAAGTACATGGATATAAATTATCATATACAACAAGTGATTTATCATTTTATTAGTCTGTCTCTTAAGCTTACTGGGGTCCAGCGTTGCAACC